GAGTATGTGGGCATACACAGCCCTGAAGGAACTGTCCAGACATACCTGGATGTACACATCCACTAACATACATACATATCCAGGTATCCAGACACGCACAGGTGCACCAAGATCCATATATACAAGCCCAGATACACACACCTAGACACACATAAACATATTCAGGCACACAGTTCTAGACACAACGCCTCTGTATTTTTACCTGACCAGCTGAATCCAGTGTAACACTGTGAGGTATGTTGAACTTGGCAGGCCCTGTCCCATTTTCTCCATGCAGCCAAAGCATCATGAAATCTACAAATGGTAAACATATATGGTCAGAGCAACATACAGAATGCCTTATACATCTGCATATTCTATTTTATGTCATAGGTTGCAGGCAAATTATTCAATTATAACCTCTTTCCTCGCTTTCTGTTTACATACCCATTTGCCTAAGTCTTATGATTTACAAAGAAAAAGAACACTGCTTATTTCAAGCAAGTAATCTTTTTTTTTTTTTAAGATTTATTGGGGAATTGGGGGAGGGTAACAGCATTGGGGAATCGGGGAAGGGAAACATACAAGTTGCTGTTCTTTTGTTCTTCAGTCTAGTTGTGAAGGACGTTGCTTCACTGGCCCATGTTGCTATTATCATTGCGCTCTTCCCGGGTGAGGCAGTTGCTCGCTGGCCATTGGACAGCCACTCACGGCGGCTCTTGGAAGCTCATGTTGGCTGCCAGGCACTCACACTGGCTGCCGGCCACTCACGGTAGCTCACGGCAGCCCACTGCAGCCTACGCCATTGCCAGCAACTCATGACAGCCCCACTCCAGGTTGAGCTGTTGTTCACCATCTTAGCTGTAGAGGGCGCAGTGTAACTGGCCCATGTGGGATCTGAACCGGGGCCCTGCTGCTTAGAGCTGGTGTCCCAAGCCAACGCTTAACCAACACACCACTCGGCCGGCCCCTAGTCCCCCCAATTCTTAACTGGCTAAAATAACCACTTATTTGTTGAGCCCACTATAAATTTTCATACTGCCTCCAGTTCATTTCAAAGGAAACGCCTAGCTTTTTGTGAATAAGCAAGTCTATTATCAGAATCATTAATTATTGGCCATCCCACACATCTGTTCTGGGTTTTCCCTAGTAATACACTTGAGCCCTTTACACACAGATTCATATACAATAGTTACAATATTATACCAAATATCAAATTAAATCCAATTTACTAAATAATGTTCTTATAATATCATATAAAATTAAGCCATGTACCTTGGGACAACTTGATCAATCTGTTATTCAATCCTCCATCTCCATCCACAATGTAAATATCTCCTGTGTCCTCTACATATAATTCTGCAGGGTTATCAAACTGCAAGGGATTCAAACCAGTGCCTTTTTTGCCTGGGGTACCCAAGACTTGAACAAGATCACCGTAGGAATTGTATTTCTTAATAGTATGGCCATAGGATCCTATAAAGACAGGCATGCACATTTCACAAATATAACCACTGTACAAACATTTCTGTTTTTCAAGTACAGTTGACCCTTAGACAACAGAGGATGGCGGGGTGGTTAGCGGTACCAACGCCTGCACAGTAGAAAATCCATGTATAACTTTTGACACGCCCAAAACTTAACTGTTAATGGCATACTGCTGGCTGGAACTTATCAATAACATAAAAACTCACCTAAAACATATTTTGTATGTTATATGTATTATACATACATTATATACATACATATTGTATTCTTACAATAAAGCTGAAGAAAATGTTATTAAGAAATCGTAAGGAAAATACATTTACAGTATTTATTGAAAAAATCCACATATAAGTGGACCTGTGCAATTCAAACCCATGTTGTTCAAGGGCCAACTGTAAGCTGAGAGCAAAAATTGACAGAGTTAAACAGTAATCAAAAGTTAACAGGCTCAGATAATTAAATGTTATATTTGATAAGCAATAGAGCTTCTTCATCCATTATAGCCACATCTGCTTATGAAGTAAAATCTCAGGTACTTCAAAAATAAGTAGATTCTCAATTCAAATAAATAAAACTAAAAAAAACTGACTCCTTAAACAGAAAGCTCATGTTAAATTATTGGCACACCATGTTCCATTTTAATCTTATGACCTTGAATAAACATTACTTGTAAAAGGAAATCAAGAAGAAACTGGAAAAGGAACAATTTATATTTGACAACTGTTATTTCACTCATTCATGTGCAGATCTTAAATTTTAGTAGGTCAAAAAAATGTATAACACAGATTTTTTTTTTTTAGCTGAGCCATCCTGCCACCTGTTGGCAACTCAGCGGCAGCTCAGCTCGGGCCAGACTCAAACCGCTGTTGCTCAGAGCTCAAACCCTTGAGCAAGCTCTTAACCAACTGAGCCACTCGGCCGGCCCAACACAGATTTTTTTTTTTAAACTACATTTTCTGGACGTCAGAAAAATGACGGTATGGGGGGTTCCCTCTTGATCTCTCGTCTTCAAGTTACAAGAAGTTGAACAGCTACAGGAATCCCTGCACAATACCCAAACATGCCTGAGAGACCCATGCATCGAAACATCTGGAGGTGGGTGAAATGGGGCAAACGGAGGAGGGAAGGGAGAAGTGCAGAGATGGGTGCCGCAGACCTAGGCCAGAGCTCACTGCAGTCCAGGAGACAAGAGGATTGAGACTGCAGAAGCCCTGTCTGTGGCCCACAATCCTGCCTGAGAGATCAGCATACAATACGGATGAACCCATAATCGGGGCAGAGACCTGGGGGCAAAGATCAAATGCAGAACTGCCACAGCTGTGGTCTAGCAGCTCACTGCCAAGCAGAAAACAAAGCCACAGAGCAAGGCCAACTACCCCTACCCTCCCAGAGCTCCCCTCACTTCACCCTCCCATTGTCAGCAGGGGGCCCCACAAGAAACTGTAGCAGTGAGTTGTTGGATTAAAGAACAAAGTATCTACAGCCCAAGAACAGGAGAGAATTCCTGGGCAGCAGACACACAACACTTTGCAGCTAATCTCAGTGATAAGGGAGGAGATATAGAAGTGCAGCAGCTGTGGTCTGGCAGTCACCATTACTCATATTATATATATTATCATACATATATATACCACATCTTCTTTATCCAATTGCTGGATATATAAATATAATGGAATATTACTCGACCGTAGAAAAAATGAAATACTGCCATTTGAGACAACATGGATGGATCCTGATTATCATGCTTAACAAAATAAGTCAGACAGAGGAAGTCAAGAACCATATGACTTCACTGACATGTGAGACATAAAACTGAAAGTAACAAAAGAACAAGACAAATAAACAAACAAACAAAAACTCATAGACACAAACAACAGTTTAGTGGTTACCAGAGAGCAAGGGTTGCAGGGTGGTAGAAGAGGGTGAAGGGGGTCAAATGTACGGTGATGAAAGGGGAAATGACTCTGGGTGGTGAACACACAATGTGATATACAGATGATGTATTATAGAATTGTACAGTTGAAGCCTATAGAATTTTACTAACCAATGTCGCACAAATAAATTTAATAAAAATTAAAAAATAATAATAAACTATAGTTTCTACAAGTAGAAACAAATTCAAAATTCAACCCATTAAGCTTTCCTAAGAAGGGAATAAATCTTTCCAAAGCACTAGTGTCTTATCTTCTCACTTACATTAAAATTCCTGTTGGTTACAATTATCTTACAAGCAAAAGTATAAAGTAGAATCTTAACAAATTGGGAAAAACCATAAAGCAGTGAGCCAAAATCAACATGAAGGCATACCAAGCCCACTAACTGCTAGTTGTTCAAAAGATAACTGGATATACTGAGCTTACTGGAAATAAAGTGAATTAGCTTACAATTCTATCTTGAAAATTATACTTATTATACTTGATTTGGAAGCTTTAGTTAAAGTTTGTAGCAATAATGAGAATAAAACATTAAAGAAAGCAATCTCCAAAGTTTCTAAAGAACTAGCAATAGACAGAATACCAGTAATGTTTTTTTGGTTTTTTCTTTTAAATGGCTGATTTGCAGCCATGTTTTCATTAAAGGGAATTTATTCCTTTGAAAAATAGGAAGAAATAAAAAAACTGGTTTTCAGATCTGTGCATGGAAAAAATCAATCACAGAAAGAATGAAGAGGTCATGTGTGTTCTTTTTATTTCTGGAATCAGTGAAGTATTTTATATAAAAAAAAATCAAACGAATGGCATGAATTGAAAAATAAAGGCCTTTACCAGTGGATCCTTTAAAAAAAGGTCAAATAGTGCAAATTTTATTACAATGAACTCAGAGGTAATCTAGGTTTTTTGATTTAAACATAATCTTACCATCCAAAATACAGCTTGAAATAAATAAAGCATTGGCTGAGGCTCAGAAACCTTTTGGGTTCTGAGAACAGATGTGGTAATGGCACTTATTATAAAAACTGAGGCCTCATTAATTCCAAAATAGTATGTGAATTAGCCAGATCTGGGGAAACAGGCTGTCTCTCAAGATATGAATGTAACCGGGCTGAGGAATATTACAAATAATGTCTTTTTTATCCCATTCCTTACTGAGATTATGCCAGGTTATCTCTGGTACCGTCTTGTTATATTCAAACAGCTACCTCTGAAAATTTATCTCCACAGCTCTAAATTCAACTTGTGGTTACTTTGTTTTGCAGCGCATTCTACTAAAATATTTGATGGAAGAAAGATTTCAGCATTGCTGCAGTCAGTGGGATTTCAGAAGTGTTAACAATTTCTGTAAATCTTGCATTTTGGGCAACAAAGCAATTCTGGTTTCTTAGTACAATCTCTTTTGAAAGAAAACTGGTAAAGGAAAATGAGAAGCAAGGGTTTCATTCATTGGCTTTTAGAGCTTACCATTTTATTTGACTCCATAGAAGGGGCTTAGAATTATTTAATCTGAGAAGAGCAACTGATGCTTTAAAGAGGAAAACACTCTTGTCAAGTTAAAAGAAAGATCATAATTATAGCCTTCTTATTAAATGTCTTAATTGTACAGAAGTACACTTTATTTTTAGAAATAAGTGATTTCATGAATCATTAATGAAATTACAATTGGATTTGGTAACTCTGATTTTAAAATGTACAAGCAAGAACATGAGCAAAGATGTAATTTCTAGCAAGATAATTGAATAAATATTAGTACACATACCACTTCCTACATCCGTGATCCAGACAGATTGTTCATGTAGTGTACTGGCTGCAAACATACCGTGAGGTGTGTCAACTGTGTAATTCCAGGATCGTAGGAAATATCCATCCTCTGTGAACACTAATACCTTTTGGATATTATCCCCTCTCTGAAGGAATACAAAAATAACTGCTTAGGTAGCATCAGTTTTAAGGAAGTAATCTTATTTTGGCAGGGAGAAACAAAAATTAAAGGTTAACCAAGGAATTTAGTAACGTTTAAAAATCCAGCTTCAAAATCGAACAATATGAATACCTATCACATTCAAAGCCAAAATACTCACTTGAAACCAATTCAAAAAACAAATTCCAGAACTGGCATAAACGTATATGGTTACTTAGTACAGTAAAACAGGCTCTTGTTTCCTTTGTGTTCCTAATTTTTTTTTTTAAATTCCAATTTGACTTACTTGGGCTATGTAAACCAGTCCATTCAGAGAGTCAACTGCAACACAAAATGTTGTTCCAGTAAAGTATTCTGAATGCTCAGGCCAACTCACATCCAGCCGGTAAAGAATTTCCTCAGTTTTCCAGGAAATTTGAAAAGCAAACTCCCTTAACACCTTAAATGAAAACAGAAGATTAAGATTCAGTTTACCATCTAGGTTAAAAAAGGGAAAAAAAGGTTTTAAGCAGTCTTGACACCTGACCCAAAGGTCAGAAATGATTGGGAAAAAATGGGCTTACATGTTTAAAGGCCAAGGCGACCACAATACAAATCTGCAAACTATTTGAGGATGTAATGGGAGCAAGGAAAGAGAAAATAAGGAACATGTAGCTGCACTATCTACAAATGCTCCTCGACTTACATGCTGATAAGCCCATCAAAAATTGAAAATATAGTAAGTCGAAAATGCATTTATTACACATAACCTACTCAACACCATCGCTTAGCCTTAAACGTGCTCAGAACACTTAACATTAGCCTACAGTTGGGCAATTACCGTGAGTTCCATTCAACTCAAGAAGCCTCCCTCTTCTCATCAGAGCAGAAGACACAGATGTGCGTTTCACAGACACGATGAGACTCGAAAACATTGCTGACAACACAGTACAATATACTATACAGTATCCGTTGTTTGCCCTGATCACGTGGCTGACGGAGAACCACCTAGCATCATGAGAGGGTAGTATACTTGCATAGCGCTAGCTATAGCCCGTGGAAGTACAGTGTCTAGTGAATCGTACCGCTTTGGCACCATCATAAAGTGGGAAAATCACAGATAGGGACCCTCTGTACATACATTTTAATACTAAGAGACAAGGGGGTTCTGCTCCCCCTGCCCCCTCCCAGATTTGAGACAAGCTGGTGCGCCCACCACCTCCATCCCAGGAGGGCAGAGTCGCCTCTCAAAAGTGCTATCCACACACCCAACAGCTATTTTCTCACTATTCAACTCACCGGAGAGCCACAAAAACGCGAATGCAAAACCAGAAACGCAAGAAAGAAGACAGCGCCAGCTGCACAAAACCAGAATCTCGCCATGACGGAACAAGAAGCCCGACGCCAGGGGCTTCCGCAGGCGGCTGGGGACAGCCGGACAGCCTCAGGTCCACACGGTTCCTCGGTGCACAGAGCCTCCGGCCTCTGGGCCGAAGCTATTACCTCCAGCCGTGCCCCCTGGAAGCGCAGGGTCTGAGAGCTGGAAAGGAGCCCAGAGAACGGCGGAAATAAATTAGAACTCGGATTCCCAGAGCGTTCCTGGGTCCCCACCCCCACGTCACGTGCCTCGGGCTGACCCAGTGACCACCCTTTCCCGCCCCTAGGGGAGGTCTACGATGAGGACTTCTCCTGTGTCCCAAAATAAGGGCACCCATAGCTGTGCCTTAACCGCTCGACGTTCATTCTGTATAAATTAAGAATGATCAAGCAGAAGCTAGCACACACAAACCCAAGACACAGGGGTGTCACCCTCAAAAAACGACTTCCAGGCCCTGCAAAGGATTTCATCCGTATCCGATTCCGGACTCTTCAGGCATACTCCATTGACACCTATGTTCCCACACAAGGTCCCCTCTGTTGGCTTCCAGGAAAGAGTGGCCTAAACAGGCGGCGCAGCGCTGAGTTTACTCGCGCGCGACGGGCTTCATTGAAGGCCCACATGGTCCGGTGGGAACTGTAGGGGTAACCGGGAAGGGCTCCTGGCAGTGTCGGCGCTGCGGTGCTCCCGAATCCCCCTACCCGAGACCGTGCCCCCCTTCCCCCGGCTCCCGGTGCTCTCCGGCCGCCGGTCCGCTCCCGGAAGCTGTGGCAGTTGGTAACAAAGAGCCTGCCAGGCCGCCGCCGCCGCCGGGGCTGTGGGACCCAGGAGTCCGGCGGAGCTGCTGCGGGTGGGCGCGAGCCGGGCCATGAGTCCAGGTTCGTGGCGGTGAGTGCCGGCTTTGGAAGCGCGGGTGCGGGCGGAGAGGCCAGTGCCTGCCTCCTCGCCGCCCGCGGGACTCGGGGCGCAGGTGCCCCTGCTCTCCCTGCCGCTCCACCCAGGAAAGAGGCTTGACGACCGACCCCCGGTGGCGCCTGGCCTTCAGCTGCAGGGGACCGACGCTCAGCCCTGGCTGCCAAACCCCGGATTTCTCTGCGGGACTCAGAGAGGACCCGACTCTTCCCCGAGGTGTCCTGAAGCTTCGTGCAAAATAGCTGGGGAAGCCTGATGGTGTTTGTTTTTCATAAAAAGTTTTTATAAGTCTCCGTTTTTAGAAATTTTTGCAGAGTTTGAAGTACTGTCTACCTCTTCGCATCCTATCTCCTGTTCCTGGAGTCTTTTTCTACTCAGCTATAACCATTTTTACTATCGGAGCTGACCAGGGATGAACGTTTTGTAATTGAAAGTATAACTGTTGTAACCACGTCAAAGAGAGTAGTCAAGATGGACAAAAAGTCCTTTGAAACGGTGCTGGATGAAATTAGAAAGGTAATTACACTTAATTCCTTAAATCATTCTATGAGCTGCGAATCCCCATGGTTTATTCTCTTTGAGGAACTGCGTGCAGAATGTGCAAAATACGGGTTTTAGGATTGCAAAATTGGTTGGAATTTTAACGTATAGGGTAGGAGCTTATACCTTGATACATTTCACGATACGAATAGAAATGAAGTTATGTTAACTATAAACATCTTGAGAATCAGAGCAGTATTGTATTCAGAGAGTTCTTGGTTTCGGAGCTGGCTCTACAAATCTTTAACAGCTCTTTACTTTTGAATAAGTGATTTAGTATTTCTGAACCGATATCCTCATATTTTGGTAACATGTAGACAGTTTCTTTAAAAGTGGTAGTTATGACAGGTTTTTCATATTTGAGGAGTGGCAGACTAATATTTCCTGGGCAGGACAAAATTATTGCTCTCATGAAGTGCGACGTTAAGTTTAAAGTCATGATCTTAGGAATGGGCTTCAATAACTTGAATTCTAAAACTTTTTTTCTGCTTTCCAAGTTTTTGCTTTTTTTGAGTCCATTGTATGTAGACTCCCAGAATGAATCAGACAGCAAAAAATTTTGGAATGTGGCCTTGAGCATAACAGTAACTAGTGCAAAAATAAGAGTTTACTTAATTATAACTGAAAGGACTTAACTGTAACATTCTTCTGCTAATCGAGGGTAGAACTTCTGGGCAATTATCTAATTTACATACCTTTAAGACCCTTCCCTGAACTGGAAGGATTTGTTACCTTGTGCTCTAGTGCTTATTTATTTCAACTTATGAAATTATTAACAAAATTGCCTGTGGACATGCTGATTTTCTTTATTCTTTATAAAGGAAAATGTTTTTCGTCATCCTTTAAGTTTTTTCTTTTTCAAATTTGCAGGTGAGGTGAAATTTGCATATTCAAAATCTCTTTTTGAATGGGATTTCTTCTGCTTTTGGAAACCCAGTTTGTTCAGTTAAGATCTGCAATAAAATATCAGCTTGCTAACTCTGTATTTAGGATTTGCCAAAATTTGTTCATGAGCTGATATTTAACTACTGTTTATGAGAAAATAACTTGTGGATTCAGGTAGACCAGTAGATTTCTACTGTTGGACGCTATAGGGTGTCATTTTACATATTTTCTCCCTTCTAAGTTGTGAAAAGATCACATAGTAAATACTAAAGAGAGGAAGAGCCAATTTTTCAGAAATGAAAATTATATTCACACAGATAGCAACTTAAGTCCTTATTTCTGGTTTACAAACAAAGTGCGTTTTGCTTTCTATGCCAAATAATTAGATGCATCAACATTATCTTGTTCTATCTATTAAAATGTGATAAGAACATAGGCATGTCTAAATATGAGAGTTACTATTGGTTTTTTTTTTTAAAGTTACTCTTAGACTTTGTAAATGTAAATCAGTTTAAGCCAGGTAATCTCTTCCTGAGTGTCACCATAGGTCCGTAGGTAACACTGGTTGTCACTAATGTCTTTTAAGCAAAGCATGTAAGAAGGCACTAGGGAAGGGGAAGAAAGGAGGGGAAAAGGCAATGCTGAATTTGCTTTTCAAAAAGGAGGTAATGATAATAGCCATAATTATTGAGCACTTAACAGTGTGTGCCTGTTCTAAGCACTTTCTGAATGCTATTTGATTTGATCTTCCTAAACCCACGAAGTATAGGTACTATGCTCTTAATTTTACAGATGGCAAACCTAGTCTCTGTGAGCATAACTAGTTAGTTAGTTCAGATTACCCAGCTGGCAAATGGGGAGAGGTCCAATGTTCAAATAAAGACAGCCTGACTCCACAGTGCCATGCTGTTGTGCCTAGGGGTACAGCCGGGTCTCAGGCATTGATGGAAGAATTGAGACATGTTGTGGCATCAACACAATCCAGGAATTTGTCCAGAACTTACTTTTGACTGTGTTCAGTAGTGATAATCAAACTTCCAAGAGCACATTATCCAAAACCAGCCCCCACTTCAATGAAAATTAAACTGAGCACCTTGGCTGTTTTTCTTAGTTGACTGGTTGTAGTAATAGTATTTTCTCCTAGCAGAATGATATGTGGAAAGTACAAATACCATTGTTTTATAGTAAAAGCAAAGAGATTAGTTGATTTTTAATGATTAATAGTTACCCAATAGTGATACCCTGGTGTTTCCATCTCTAAGCTCGGCAAATAGTCGCAAGGAGAGCGTATATGATTTCAGTCAGCTCTAGATAGTGCTGGTTTAAGGCCGCTGGACTTCTCACTGAATTTCCCAATGATAGATGCCATGTGAAGAAAGGAACCATCATTTACTGAACACCTATTATATGTCAGGTCTATTATTGACTTTTAACCATCATAGTAATTCCGAAGGTAGGTAGTGAATGGTGTTTCCTTTTATGGGTGAGGAGGCTCTCAGGGTAATTAAAAGGCTACACTGCCAGTTAGTGGCAGGTGCACAGAATGAATTCAGGGCCTTCAAGGCTCCTTGGGTTCTCATATCCCTGCAGAAATACTGAGAGTCTCGACTAGACCTTGTCTTATTCCTATTTCTCTTATCACTTAGCACATAATAGATGCTGAATAATAATTGTCTGATGGATGAGTAATATCTGATACATTTAAGCTTCTAAAAAATGCAATTTGGTTGAATTGGGGATGTTCTGAAACTAACATTTACAGAAATTCTATATGTAATTTCTATTAATGTCAAATCCCTTCTATTACAATTCTATTCCCTTTCTGTGTAGGAGTGAGTAGGGAGGCCCAGGAAGTTTTCCTGATATGTCAGTCTCAATGTATTCTTTATAGCATGGAACCTGGAAAGGTAGAATGTCATGTCACCACGATCACTTTAGCTGCCTCTGCATGATGGGCTGAAAAAGGTCTTCCACTGTTTGAGTTGGTTAGGCATTTTTGTTATATGCGAATAACTGTTCTGTTTACATAATTAATGCTGTTTTTCTATGTTTTTTAGGCTGTTTTGACAGAGTACAAATTAAAAGCAATTGAATATGTGCACGGATATTTCTCAAGTGAACAGGTATTTCTGTTTTGTTTAAGCAAAAGTGTTTTTTGTTTTTTTTTACATAATGGTCTGGTTAAGGTCTATTTACCTGCCAGTCAGGGTCAGAATTACTTTTATTTTGTTGCTGTATTTATTCAGGAACTTTAGAAACTTTCAGTTTTGGTAGAAAACTTGACACAATTTATAGTTTGGGTATTTTATAAACATAGCCCCTTTCACCACAGTATCATGGTAACATGATTTTAAAGTGCAGTATAAAAAACAGCAGTTCAAAGTGTTTGTCATTCTGGACACGGTATCATAAATTTATAAACTAATGGTAATTATATTCAAATTTGTATAGTACTTAAAAATCAGTAATTGCAAAATTTACCACATATTATAAAAGAAAACGTGGATAAATGGTGAAGTATTTTATGCGAAGCCACTCAGTAAAAGTTTTAGCAATAAGAAAAAATAATACAGTCTCTGATAAGTAGTTTCAATAACTGCCAGAAGACCAATGGTAGTTTAATGAAAATGTTTACCCAACTTTAGGGGGAGCTTGCTGATTTAAAAAAAATATGTATGCATGTACACACACACAACACACGCCAGATTTCTGAGGGGACACTTGGAAAATACTTGATGGGGAAATAGGGCAGACATAGAAATATACATCTGGAGAACTGTTCTGGGAAAGGGTAGGAATGTAGATAGAGTAGACAATGTATGAATCTACAGATTTATACTATCAGTTAGTAAATGCTCCAACTTTTCATCTATTTCTCTAGACCTTCAAACCTTGATTCTGCCTACTAAAT